ATCAACTCCGCAAATGTCAAATCCACAAATGCAGGGGGCCAACTGTATTCTCAAATCTGAGTTTTTAGAACAAAAAATACTCATTTGGGGCAGGATCTGCTATTTCAAGCTGGTTTGGAAGAAGAGGGACACACCCTGAGACTAGGGTTGCCAGGTTCAAAACTGGAGACAAGTCTTGCTCCATTAATGGTTGTGTAAAAAAAAGGCATTTCAATACTTTCACTTGGCATGCTTCCCACTTATGGTGATGGAGACCCTCATATGAACCTATCATTGAGTTTTCTTGGCAAGAGTTGTTCAGAGCGGGTTTGCCTTTGCCTTCCTCTGCAGCTGAGAGTGTGTGACTCCACACAGCCATTAACAGTGTAGGAGCCCTCTCCAGTTTTCACTTTGGCATCCCTACCTGAAACAATCTTCAATTGCCTTAAAATGGCAGCTGAAGGTGATGGAAATGTTGCTTCCAGTCTGCTCAAATGGCATGAGGCTCTGCAGCTCTGAAACATACCTGCTCTAAAGAACACGATGCACGTTTTGAGAGGGGGAAAAAGTGTATATATGCATCCGTAAATGAGATTTCAAGCTAAATTTTCAAAAATCTGCAGATTAACATGGAAATATGATAGCAGAAATTAAAGGTGAGCCAGTGTGGTGTAGTGGTTTGAGTGCTGGGCTATAAGTCTGGAGACCAGGATTTGAATTCCTGCTTGGCCATGGACACCCACTGGGTGGCCTTGGGCAAGTCACACTCTCTCAGCCTCAGAGGAAGGCAAAAAGCAAACCCGTTCTGAACAAATCTCGCCAAGAAAACCCCGTGATAGGATCTTAGAGCCATCATAAGTCGGAAGTGACTTGAAGGCACAGAATAACACCAACAAAAGACAATGGAGCAAGTGACATGTCCCAGAGGTAGGCAAATTCACACCTATCCCTGTTTGTGGATTATCCGAAGTACTTCACACATATGCATTTGGGAATCCTTATAAACCGCTACTCGCCCAAGGCAGCCTTCTTGAATCCGCACACCCCAGATGCATTGGACTACTACATCCACCATCGCTAAACAGCATGGCCACTACACTTGTTGGCTGGGAAAGATAGGAGACAGGAGTAGAATATATCTGGAAAAGACCAGGTTGATGAAGATACACTATAGTAAATCAAATTGTTCTTGCATTTCAGGCATTACAGGGCTTTGAGACTAGATGTCGGTACCTTGCCAAAAGCCACTCAAACACATAGGAGAGAGCTTATCTCAGCCAGGGATTCCCAGATCACAGTGCTGAGCTTTGCTTTCTCCCTCTCTGGCTTTGCACATCAAGATCACACATGGGATTGTGCCATTGTTGCTGTTGTTGTGTGTCTTCAAGTCGCTCCCGACTTATGGAGACCCTAAGGCGAATCGCTTATGGGTTTTTTCTTGGCAAGATTGTTCCAAGGAAGTTTCCGCTGAAGCTGACAGCATGTGACTTGCTCAAAGTCACCCAATACATTTCTATGGCCAAGCTGGGAATCAAACCCTGATCTCCAGTATCATACTCTCCATCTATACTAGGGGTCGGCAACCTTTTTGTGGGTAGGGCCGGTCCCCCTGTCCCCCAAGCCGCGGTGGTGCGCACGCACACACTACCACCGCCGTGGTGCGCTCCCAGGAGGGCTCCCTCGACCGCCCTGAGCCTCAGAAAGGCCCAGCATGGCTGTGGGGGTCCCTCAGGAGGGCTCCCTCGACCACACCAGGCCTCAGAGAGGCCCAGCACGGCCGCGGGGGTCCTCTGGGGTGCCATTTTGTGTTCCAAAATGGCGCCCGGAGTCTCACGTGACCTTTCCCGTTGCAGGGCAGGACAAGTGTAGTGGCCCCAGAGGACCCCTGCGGCAGTGGCGGCAGGACCGGGCAGGGGCTGGTCGGCGGGCCTCAGTGGGCCAGGTGCAGCCCGCGGGCCGTAGGTTGCCAACCCCTGATCTATACTCTCTATTAGACTCAGAACATTCACTGCTCTTTCAGCTCTGTGCTCAGTAGCAGGAGCACCGAATGAACCCAAGCATGGAAAAATTACTTCTTTGGACTGCAAGTCCCAGGATGCCCAAGTCAACATGTTACCAAAAAACAACAACGCTCCACACTTTTACAGGGCTTTGAGTTAGTCTCTGCTCCTTCATTCTTAACACAATGTATGTATTCCCAGACTCATGACTCCGCTCCCAGACCTTTCCCCTATGGATGGGCAGTGCTTTCCATCTTACTGATAATGGCAGCATTGTTTGTCTCTTTGCGGAAACGGAATTTTCTCAGCTTCTCCACAAGGTCTTCGGCAACGTCACAAACAACAAGGGATTCGCTCTAGAAAAGGGGGAAGGGAGGCAGGAGGAGAGAAAAACAAAAGAGGATGAGCAAGATGATTTTTATTTCCATCAGACATGCCTCTCTGATTTCCCATCTGTTGAGAAGATATAGGACAAGATAAAGCTGGACAATACAAGCAAAGAAAAGGCTGCAACAATTTTTTGGTCTGAGAAGGTGCACACAGATCCATGAACCCCACTGTAATGGAAAAATTATTGCAGAGAGAGGATTTCCAAACCTCATTTCCACCAACCGTTTTGCCAAGCCGTTGTTTCCATCAAGGATTTGCAGGCATGGGCGACTGCTGCACTGCAGAAATAAAGCAGTTTGACACCACTTTAACAGCTATGACTCAATGCTATGGAAGTCTGAGATTTGCAGTTTGGTGGGGCGCCAAAAAAATAAAATAAATCATTGCTAGATTATTTTCAACTGCTGTTTTACTTTGAATTGTTCACAGCCTCAAAGATCCATTGAACGGCACAGCTAGAAGGTATAAATATTAATAAAAATATAAGCCCTTCTTTTTAAATAACTTTCCCCCCTTTTGAAATCAGCCGCTTACAGCAAACTCTAACAGAGAAAGCTAGATAAGTCCCAAAGCTACAAATCCCAGGTTTCCATAGCACTGAGCCATGGCAGTTAAAGTAGTGTCAAACTGCTTTGTTTTTATATTGGGAGAAAGGAGATATATAAATAAATAATTATAATTATAATTATTATTTCTTCTGCTGCGTGGCAGCAGCCAAGGTCTTTACTTACCTTTCCCAGCCTGGTGCTTTCCAGCTCTGTTGCATTACAACTTGCACCATCCCTTAGCCAACATGGCCAACGAATGGTCCACAACACAATTGAAAAGACATTAGGCTATAGAGCAATAACAATGACAACATTTGTTTATGACACTCTTTCCACCAAAGGGCAGAACATCAAACATATACAATCAGAGACAAAAACAATAAAACAACAAACCAAACAGGAGAAAAATAATTGGAGATGTTAGTCCCCACCATACCATCTTAGCTAAGGACTGAAGCAACATGCAGGCATCTGACTAACATCTCCAATTGTTCTTCTTCTGTTTGGTTTTAAAATCTTCCTGATGAAGAAGAAGCCCATGGAGCTTAGAAAGCTTGCAAGTATATTGTGCATTTTGGTTGGCCAATAAAGGTATTACTGATGGATTTTTGTTTGAATTCAAGATGACATAACTTAGCCCGAAGAGGGTACAGAAGGGATTTGTGTCCTTTGTTGCAAAGCTGTCCATGACCTTATCTCCCTGCTATTAAATCCCATAATAATAATAAGATCAGATCCCCCTACATCCATCCATCCATCTCACTTGCTCCCAGTTGTTCACAGATCTCTACTTTTTCTTTCTTTCTGTCTTTCACACATTCCCAGACAGGTCTGTGATGTCGTCTCTCTTACCGACTCCAAATCCTTTATCAATAAATTTCTCCTTTTCCTTTTATTTCTTTTGTCAATTGTTCAACAGGACCCCCTGCTTCTTTGACTAAAACCAAATTATATTTGTTGCTGTTGTGTGCCGTAGGGTCGACGTATGGAGACCCTAAGGCAAACCTGTCCTGGAGTTTTCTTGGCGAGATTTGAGGCTGAGAGAGTGTGACTTGTCCAAGGTGGTTTTCACGGCCAAGCTGGGAATCAAGTCCTGGTCTCCAGAGTTAGTCCATCACTTAACAGTGCACTGTAATCACATCTTTTCCCCCAATTCACTTTCCTCTTCCATTGTCATCTCATATGTGCCACTGTGTAATGCAAGGATGCATCCCCTCATTCTTTATACAGGATTGCAGCATTAATTTGCAAAGGGTAACACTGTTGGGGCATTCATAGTACAGTAGGCCTTCCACATTTGCTGGGATTAGGGCCACAGGACCCCCGTGAAAGTGGAAAAAATACAAATTAAAAAAAAAAAACAACTACTACTTTTTCAACCTGAGAGAACACCTCTCTAAGCATCCCTAGGTCCTCCAGCATAACTTTATGGTCAACATCTGCTAAAATTTGATCATAGCATCATGTTGGAAGACCTACAAATGCCTAGAGAAGTGCTTTCTTTCACCATCCTTTTGCTGAGTATAGTGAAAACCTGTGTGGCTTAG